ATCTTCGCCTACTATAATTCTGTTTGTTTACACCCAGATTCTGGTTTTTCAATGTTATCAGCTGTCAACGTAAAATGTATTTCCAGCACTACCTTGATCAAATGTTCGGCAACATTTTGGAATTGCATATATATACGAATATTTTAATTGTTTGCATATTATTGGTGACTGGAACAAATGATAACATACGCATATGCACATTCATGACTAAATCGATTTTCAATTGCATACCACAGGAACTGATTGCCACCTTTCCAACCTGCAACGAATATGCGACGAAATGCTACGATAGCATAGCATGACCATGGTATGATCAATGATTACTTTATATTGCAAAAGTTCATGACTAATTATGAGTATAAAAAAATTGCCAGTATGATTTCAAAACTTTAGCTACAAAATCTCTATGAAATTAGTTTTTGATACATTATGGTAATGCTTAGAGCTTTCCTTCTATTTCCATTCTTCCATATGCATTTTAAAGGTTAAAATGTAATCCAAAACAAGAACAAGTCTGTGAAGTAATTGATTATTAATACAATATGAATGGACTACCGGTACCCTGAATTCTTTTCACTAAATGTTGAATAGTCACATCGTAGGTGCAACTGTAACGCCATAGGAAATACACATCAATGAAGAAACTCAAGTCCTGATTGATCCTGGTGAACATTGGAAGGGGAAAAATATTCATGTTAAAATGATAAATGTTAATAAATGATAACTGTACTTCTGTCAGTCATGACTTCCACTTTTTTAAATCCATAAAATGAAAAAAATGTGAGCACACTCAGGAAAGTACACATTTGAAAATGCAGCGGAAAATTTTCAAAGTCATGCCAAGTATAATGATGTCCATAATATCTGTAGATAGACTTCATTTTGTGCGAGTAATTTGAGATTTGTTTCATTAACTCAAAAAGCATATTGACAGCATTGAATCAGTAATACTGACTATATAAAATGAGCACATAAATTAAAGCGATTGTTGAATTTTGATTAGAGTAAGTTCGTTCTGATGATTTATTAGTAAAAAATCAATTCGATATGAATACACACCCCCATAAACCATCACCATTACATTTCCAGAAATCAATCTTTTCAGTAAAATTGTTCCATTTAGCTCTCCACTTCTCTTGATTTTTCGTTGAAGAAGTTATTTGTCGCTTTGCTGTCATTTGCGTTGAATAATTAGATCGCAATGCCAAGCGAGCCAGCCACATTATAAAATTTATAACTGCAGTAATGAAAACCATTCCGTTTCATCCATTTTTATCTGTTTATGAGAATTATCTTAAACTGTTCCTGCACTCTCACCTCAAAGCATGTATTCTTCACAGATTTTAAAAAGTTGATTTATTATGCAAATTTCTAATTAAGAAATGAATTGCGGTAAACTTCAATATTACAACGCTCCCAAAAAATTTAGAAAGTGTTGCGGTTCAAGTCAGTATTATTTCGATATCGCTCAATATTATCATATCAATATTATATATATTACGATACAGGGAGAATAACTTCCTGAATTAATTTAGTTAATGCTAATGTATCACTAGTTGTTAAATTACAAGATATCTTGTAAATAAAAATATGTTAAGAAATTTGACAAATATATAAAAGATCGAGCTCACGAAATCTGTGAAAATTTTCAAAATTTTGGATTAATTGTGAAGCATTGCTACTAATAAAAAATTGATTATAAGGAGTTAAAAGATAAAAAAATAAAAATTGTCAGTGATAAGCAATCTTTAATATATAACAGAAAAAAAATCTTTAAGAATGAAATAGTGTAATTAAGACTGGGATGAATCAGTTTCCATTTTTAACATGTGTTGATGATAAATCAGAAGTTTACTTAATTCTGATGACAACGTGTTGATCATTGTATTTTAAGTTTCAAAATAAGAAATGTTGATAGCACTGATTCTATTCGGATTACAAAATCATTATTGCAGTATTGACATTTCTGTTGCGAACTTTAAATTTTTGTTTTGTTAGTTTTGTTTTGAGAGAGCTCTGGTTTGGCCCAGTCGAATATTTGATGAGGATTGAATTTCTTTGGAGAGGTTTCCCTTTAAATGTTATAGGACATTAGCGTAATAGAGTCGATCACTTAACAATATTCTAGATAACAAATTTCACAATACAAATTCTACAAAATATTTGCATAACTTCAAAGTTTTTGTATTACAAAATAATTTCGTATTTCCAACAATTTCTAAATAATATCAAGTATTTCAATAAATTAAAATATGGTGCCAAAAGCACCTAAAAAAATATAAATAATTCTAGAATTCAGCTGTGTGGTCATATCTAGAACTTCCGGCTTCTTTTGCCGAATCAGAATTTAAGGCTCGTTAATCATCACTACTCTTCTAAAACTATTGGTAGTTCTATTTCTACGACAAGTTTTTCCGTCGATTGCTTTCAATAAAATAAATATCAAATTTTGAGGAACTACAATACATCTTTCACATTTAAAATAAAACTTCATTTAATTGCTATTCATTTGGCAACCATTTCAAGCCTAACTATTTATTTACATGCGGGTTTTTGTCGTAATCCTCAGTAAAGCATAAAAATAAGCTCATAAACGAAATAATTTTTTAATTTTAACGTTTAAAAAGATAAATCTAACCACAATTTATATCATTGGCTGAAAATCCCATAGTATCAAAGTAATTAAGAAACTTGCCAAAATTCTTATTTTCCTATAGCCAGTAAGCAAAACTAATGTTGAAATGACGATTGGCAGCATTGAAGGTTAATCGCTTAGGAACTTCGTGAACTATATGGGAAAATAAAAGAAAACTTGACTTTGAGCAAGTATTTTATTTGAAAATTTTCTGAAATGTTAGTATTTGCAGCAATGTTTTTGTAGTCGCCACTAGCAATATCTAAAATATTGAAATTATGTTAAAAGTTTTAGAAGTGAAGAAGCTATATTAAATCTTAAACACTGCTATTATATCTCAACCGACCATTATCAAGCGATATTTTGTTTTTTTTTTTTAGTATTTAAAGTCATTTTTTGATATAAATGGGATATCCAGGTTTCCGAAATTTAAAACATCTTTGTTGCAGATGATAAGCTCCTTAACTAAAGTTTGATAAGCAATGATATAGTTTGAAAAGTTAAGCCAATCATTCATTTCACATTTTGGTATGTTATAGCAGTGGCATTTCAGAGTATCGCACATTTCTACATATTCATAGCAATAGGTAGCGTATATTAAGAAGCAAATTTTATAATAATTAAATCACATAGCTTGATTTAGCCTGAAAAGCTCACTTTCCAGAATATTTCCAGAATAGGAAATCATTTTTCTACAATTGTCCAAAATTTGCAGAAATCTGATGAACTTCAATATGCAAATCCACGGCGAAGAAAGTCACAATGAATGACAAACAACAACAATCTTCTATGATTCCATTCTGAAACATCTAAATTTGATTAATTGAACCATCAATTGATCACTTTTGCTTTTGTTGAAAAATAATAGTGATAAATATGTATTTTTAATTGTAAAAAAAATCCATTTACATCACAATTTTCAGAAAAGATGTCCATAATTATTGGAATGGCCTAATTATATGCCCAACTAGTACACTGGAATAATTCCTAGTAACTCCTCACTATATCATCACTAATTGATTTCTTGGTGACTGCAAAATCGCTTTGTTTTTTAAATCTAACCTCGTGATATCGAATAACAAGAAATATGTATTGCTTCATGTTATTACAATATCTGTCTTGCTACATTTCATTGCTGAGAATATAGCTTACAGTAATGTTTGATGCAAATTATTGTAAGAGATAATACTGATGATCACTTTTGTCCATCTCCAAAACATTATCATTAAATTGCAGCAACCAGTATAAAACTAGCACTACCTACCCAAATCTATAAGCTTATTCTCCAAATTGCAAATGCACAACAACGTTGCTAAAATTTCAAAAAAATCTTAATCCATCTAATGGTCACACAGATCATCTATTTGCATCTTTACGAAAGTAGTAGCCATAATGGCTGAAATCGAAGTCTGCGAACGTAGTATCGGTCTTCATCACATCACCACAGGAGATGTACAGTTAGCGACAGAAGTGAATATTAAGAATATGTTTCATTTGATTATCAACATGAGTGAGAGATCCTAATACTGCTAAAGCATTAACTATTCAGTCGTATATAAACATCGTATGTTTATAGTTTGCATGCTGCATATTGTATTTGGAAATTCCCAATTGAATAAATACTATCACTGATCATTTGAAAGGGTTAGAAAAAGTGCTTCAGAAGAGACTGTTGTTCGTCTTCTCTGTTCATATTATCTAAATGCTAAAGCTCTAAGAAATCAGAAGAGAATTCATAGGCATCAAAAACATTAAAATCTGTATGAACAAGACTTTGTTGAAATTACATGATATCAAAAAGTTGTATTATAATTCATTTCCATTCCAAACAGGCATTGGGTCTATCAGTTTATAGATATGATCATTCTTGGATGGTCATTGTCTCTATGAGACAACTAAGTCGAAAATTCGAGAAGTTAAAAAAATGAGACGAATGGAAGATGTTGGTAAAACGTCCGTACTTTGGAAACTATTTTGAATTTTGTAAGCTTGTTTGACGTTAGATACATATCAGCTGATTTATACATTCTCAATAGAATTAATTGTCTTCAAGTGATTATTTTCTATTCGAATTTTCGTTGCCTTGTATGAATAATAGAAATCCTAAAATACGTGTCTTTTTTCATAGCGTTTCAGTGATATTTGATTTAATTTGCAATTATCATGTCCATCTTTTTTATCTAATCTCTCAAGTGAAATCAAATTGGTTTTAAAGATCAGTACTGACTCCAAAAGCCTCTTCGATAAATTTTACTGTGCAGACAATCAGTAATACTGAAGATCGAATTTTTTCACGTTGGCTACTTATTAAAGTTTTATAATTATTATTTTTGCTCTTATTGATCATTCCTAAAAATTTGTTGAAATTTCTTCGAAGTTATTTAAGGTCTCTTAAAAGTCCTTCTAACTGATAAGTGAGGACTGATCCATAATCATAATTGTTGAATACTTCAGAAAAATATATTACGGACACATCACGAAATTTGTAAGCAAGATTTTGGCGCATTAATTTGAAAAGCATCAAGGCTTCGTATAAAAATATTAAAATAGTTTTTTGCGACAAAATGTAAATTAGGAATTCTATATATATAGCATGTATAATTTAAACCTATATCTTAAAAAAATGACTGATAATATACAACTATTGTTGACTCTGGTTATATGAAAATTTGTTATACCATTTAGATACATATTTATTTGTTAATTATCAACCTGAGATTTCATGGTGTAGTTAGGCTGAAATTTGTAAGTTCAAGCATAGATGGTAGCTTCAAACTAGCAGAAAAACGAGAACACTATCTTGGATGAAACTTATTATTGAAAGGCTAATGATGAAATTACATGACAATGGTTCAATTAGTTGAAAATTAAAGTGATTTCACACTTTTTGTTCAATAATTGAATTCCAATTGCATAACTTCTAAGTGTCTATCATAATTTTCGAAGTGTAAAATGCGTTTTGAAATAGAGGACTATGGTTCAGGAAATTGGCAGGAAAACTTATATATTTTCAATAATAGCAATAATACAAGTTGCAATATGAAAGCAACTTGTAGTTCGTTTCACTTCACCCACCTTTGGTAACCGATTTTCTTGAATTCTTTCTTACATTTAACTAATTATGCAACATATAGTAAAACAATATGCACTTGAAGATAAACATTTTAGATGGAGAAAGATGAAAATATCCTCCTCATATTTAAGAAATTGCCTTTAAAAACTGTTCAAAAAATAATGCTTTTTTTGATAGCAAAACTTGTAGCACTAAAAAGATAATGAATGACAAATACGATATACAATAATAACATGCATTATAATTATGTAAGTTTATAATTAAAATCAAATCAAATACATAATTACTGAAAATGAAAAAAGGATCTTTGGTTCATACGATCTCAAACCATGTTACAGCTATAATATAAGCATGATCTGTTAAAGTCTTAGTCCAATGCAGAAAACATTGGGAATAGAGATCAAAAAAGTTGCTCGTAAATTTCCATAAAATTTTTTTCTAAAAAGAAAGGGTTTGGATATAGATGGAAATCGTTTTTGTAATTATTTTGTTTAAGATTCTATAAATTTTGCATT